AGTCTTGCACCTCACTTTGGAATGTAGACATGGTTGGCATGTATTGTCTTAAAGACAAAAACCAAAACAAACAAACAAACAAACAAAAAACCCCCCCAAAAAACGGGATCAGAAATAGCTCCATTTAAACATCCTATGATGTGCAGATTTAAAAAATTCAGTGCCTTTCTTAACATTTAAATAAAAAGTAAATCCAGACACTGGCGATCAGTGCCAAAGCAAACTATTAGAAAACTGAAATGATTATAAATGAACATAAATGTACAAATAGAAATAATCCTCCTAGCACCTTAGTTCTGTTTCTGGCATTTCTTTTTACTTCAGAAGCAAGAGTTGAAAGAAACCGACCTGCATTTTAAAATATATTTTTTCAGTGGTCATGTAGTGTGCCCTATTCCTTCAAATTCGTTAAAATAGAAAAAGTTGGATGGCTTCATGGTTAGAGAAGGAAAGTTCTGTGACTGGAATTCATGGTTTTAGTAATTCACATGTCTCCAACTTATACTCTGGTCATAGCATACTACTTAAAAGGGTAGTAAAAATAATGCTTTCTCTTTTTCCCCTTCATTTAACTGATTTCCATAACATACACCCTCACAGTGAATGATTGACTTAGGCATAGGGGTTAGAGAAATGACAGAGATTGCTGAGAATGCCTACTGATTCTTGTTTTCTACCTCCGCTTTAGAAATTGTTTAGAAAATGTAATCAAGGCAGGCTTACACCCAATACAAACGGAGAGTGAATACATGTGCTTCAGAGCAGGTTTTTCCAAGGGAGAGCTTTCCCCATGGAACCGTGACCATATTGGGGAAAAAAGAGCTCAGAAGACATTGATGAGTTATGCCTTCTCTTGCCTGGGAAGGTGTTTGCTTAGAAGACACGCTGCCCAAGTATTTAAGCCTTCAGGATGCCCTTTCTTCCCGGTTATTGGCAGAGTGAATCAGCACAAACCATATTTGATGAGCTACCATTAACATAAAAACTCATTTTGAAGCAAATTAAGTTTTTTTGAAACCCAAGGAAAATTGTTCAGTAAAAGAAACTTGTACTTTCTACAAAAAGGCTGGTTTTTTTTTTTGCTGCATGTTTTTAGTTAAGTTTAGTTTAGTTCAGCTAGAGCTAACATAGAACAATTTGAAAATAAATTTTCTTTCTTTTTTAGACCAGGTGTCAGCCAACCCTGGCTGAAAGACCAAATCCAATCCGACACCTGTTTTTGTAAATAAGGCTCTGTTGGAACATAGTCATGCTCATTTATTTGCATACTGTCTCTGGCTGCATTTGCACTGCAAGGGCATTATTGAGTAGTGTGACAGCGACCATATGGCCTACAAAGCCTAAAATATTTAATATCCAGCCCTTTACAGGAAAAATTTGCTGATCTCTGTTCTAGATTTATGAGAGTACTCAGTATCAGTGTTTTTGTGGTTATATATGGCAAACATGTCTACGAATTCTCTGAATTACTATTAATCTTAAATATTTCAGTATCTTCTATACTTGATTATATATTTTATAAAAGTAACTAAACTCATTGTGAAAATTGGTATGACCTGTTTGTCTAATGGATAATATGTTGAGCATTACAGAACTTACTTCTGTTTTTCAAACCCCTTGGACAGTAAAATAATTTATTTCTTGGTTTGCATTTTACCACTTATAAACATCCTGGGAAGACTTTGTGTGGTGCAAAGCACATGGTCAGCACTCAGCTACAAAATAATTTTTTGATTTATTGGAACAATTTAAAATGACAGGGGCTGGGCGCGGTGGCTCACGCCTGTAATCCTAGCACTCTGGGAGGCCGAGGCAGGCGGATTGCTTGAGGACAGGAGTTCGAGACCAGCCTGAGCAAGATCGAGATCCTGTCTCTACTATAAACAGAAAGAAATTAACTAGCCAACTAATATATATAGAAAAAATTAGCCGGGCATGGTGGCGCATGCTTGTAGTCCCGGAGGCTGAGGCAGGAGGATTGCTTGAGCCCAGGAGTTTGAGGTTGCTGTGAGCTAGGCTGATGCCATGGCACTCATTCTAGCTGGGCAACAAAGCGAAACTCTGTCTCAAAAAAAAAAAAAAGACAGGGATAAGAAACATTTTCCATCTTCCCTTTCTCTAGTTTTCCATGGTGGCCAGCCTCTTCCTCTCCTTTGGCATTCATGTTCCTTCCGGATAAAGGGCAGAGAGTTAAAGTTACTCGATGGCTCATTTGCCTCTTCAGGGCAGTTTGAGTCTTCTCAAGGGAAGGTGATTTTAGTGTCTTGCAGGAGATACTGTCTGGTAACTGGGGCTGGTCTGATGAGCATCTGAAAGAACCAGCCTGGGACAAGATGCAATTCGTTTATTCATTTATATTAATACATAACTTTATTCAAAAGGCATGCCAATTTAGGTGGTGTGCTTTGAAGGATTTCATAATATCCGAGAAGAGTTGGACACAAAGCAGATAATTATGGTATATTGTATTAAATAAAAAGATTGAGTTATACACAGAATATTATGGGAGAGAAGGCGCATCTAACCCAACAGAGGGAGAGGTAATCAAGAAAGGCTACTTGAAAGAGGCTAAATCTAGATAAATAAATCCAGAACATTCTGGAGGACATTCAGGTGGAGGTGTCCAGCAGGTAGATTTGAGGCTGAATCTCAGGGTTGAGGTATGGGCTAGACATAGGGATTTTGGTGTCTTTAGTGTAGAAATGGTAGTTAAAAACATGGGAATTGATGAGAGTCTGGAGAGTGGGGAGAGCCTTGGGCTCAGAATGGGAAAGGATCAGAAAGAGACAGGAAGGAAACAAGGAAGGAGTCAGATATTTAGGAGTACCAAGGGACAAAAGACTCGAGAAGATTTACAGACTGACTGAGGGGAAGGAGACAGTTAGTGGAAAGAAGGGGGAAATCCAGTATTGATCAGGGATAATTGGCAAGGTAGGAGGCAGGAGGGGAGATGGAATTCATTTCAAATATAATCTAACGTAGCTACTTGTGTATTAAACATGCAATTACCTAAATCTTGGTTTCAAGGCTGTTGTTTAAAGTACGCCCAAATAAACGAGTTAATTTTCCACTTTGTAAAGCTAGTAATTTTTATTTAATTTAATACATATTTATGGAGCATTTATTTTATACCGGGCACTATGGTAGGTTGGCACCCTGTGGGATAAACTATGAAGGATACAGAAATGATCCAACGTGGACTGGGCCCTCAAAGAACTTGCTGCAAGATAAGTGGTGTCTCTAAATATTTATGATACAGGGTGAAAAGTGACAGACAGGGAAGGAAGAACTAGACTTAGAGGGCAGAGATGTTGTTTTTAGATTGTGGATTTAGGGAAGCAGTAATACCTGAGTAGGAATGGAAGTATGTGAGTCAAGAATAGGGAAGATCCTGTCTTCCCTTCCATGTTTACCAGAAATGTAAAGAAAAAAAAAAAAAAAAGAAATAAGTAATTAAAAAAAAATTAAAAAAAAAAAAGAATAGGGAAGAGGAAGAGCCAAAACACTGTGCACGAAACCCCAGGACACTAGCAATTTGAATTATTGTTCTTGACTATGTCTTCACCACTAGATCCTTTGATGCTGAGGGCTGTAATTTATCTTTATAGAGTCCCATATGGTGTTTTGCATGTAGTACTTACTCAATTAATGTTTGCTATATGAATTAACCTTGACAGAGACATCGTCCTTGTTACTTATTCCATAATCTTGCCTGTGCTGACCTCCATAATAAAGCAAAAACAATTTAAAGATTCTTGTATTCTTATGTTTATCAGTAAAACAGGCAATACAGGTAAATTACCTTCTTGATTTGATTTTTTGAGGATGTTAGTTTAGAACTTATAAATGGATCAAGTACATGTAATTTATAATGTTACTATATATATGACATGAAAACAATTTAAGATAGAAGTCACACAGGTGAATATTCTTAAGACTGATGAAAACAACACAATCTCTTTGGGATCTTCTTTAAATGACAACATTGAGGCCAAGTTTTAGACATTTTTTTTTTATTAGCATGTAAGTAGTTACATTTGTTTTATATTTTTAAGTGAATTATAGCCTTCCTTTAGGATTAAAAAATAACTTCTTGGTGCTTTAGATTAACCAAGAGTGCTTGTAAAGCAAAGCTAATATTTTATAGTTGCATCTTTGTGTTTGCTTTGATAAGTTTAAGGAATCAAATTTAGAATACAAATTTCATTAGTGAAATTACTTAGTTGTTTTGGAGAGGTTCTTATTTATTTATTTAATTATTATTTGAAAAAATTTATCTTTCCAACCCCCAAGTGGAACCAGATGAAGAGGTTCTATTTAATGTGTTGCTTTGATTTAGAATGGACAGTTAGAAACATGAGGAATTAGAAAAATGATACACTAAAGGCCACATATTTTCTAGTTGATCTTGGAAAAGGAAATAATTAACAGTATCTGTTAAAATAGGGTAGGATGTATTGATTTAGGAGTTACACTAGAAAATAATTCAAGGAATTGGAAAGCTGGAGGATGTTGGTCTATGAAAATTGTATATCCTTGATTATTTCCAAATATTTGAGTTGTGTGTAATTTCATTTTTTCTGTTGGCTTTTCGATAATGATACCCAAAACATATCCGAAGTTATTTCTTGTCAGTTTAACATGTGTTATCCTTGCTTCATAAATTCTTGAGTTATTTAATCTAGTTCTTATTTCACAAATGATGGGAGTCAGATTAAGTAGTTTGTTTAAATGACCTGCAATGAATTATAGAGACAGGCCACATTTTTATGTTAGTGAATTGGTAAGAAAAATTCATGAAATCTCACAGGCTTCATGTTGCAGTTGGCTAAAACTAAACTTCAATAAATGAAAATAAACTCTTTTGTTCATTAAATCATTATAAATGTAATTTAAAAATTAATTTTCTAAATCTTTGTTATGCAGGTAAGTAAGCAAGCAAAATAATTATATAGGAACTCATATATTTTCTTGTTTTTTTTTTTCCTTCCATCCAATAGGACCAGACATATTATCAGTCATTTCAGGTTTCAGAATATGGTAAGAGTTCCTCAATTTATTTTGAAAAAAAAGAAAATTTTGTTACTTTCTACAGAGATAATAGAAGTTTTCAAGAGATGTATTATTTGAAGTAAAAATTCCAATGGAGGTAAAATCCTGGCATTCCTTATAGGCCTAAACATACTTTTTCCTTTGTAAAAGCTTTAAAATCTCATCCTAAAGAAAAAATGGGAAAATTATCATCTATAGTCCCATTATGCTAGTCTTTTTCTTATGCACAGTTTTTCTATATTTCTACTTTCTTGTGATCATAAAATATTTAAATTTTTGCACTTAAAAACCCAACATAAATTATTTTTCATTTGGTCGGCATTAATAAGGACAGTCTACTTAAGTCAGGTAAATACTCTTTTTGCAGGTACTAAGCTGATAATATCACAGTTAGAAACACATAGATGAAAACAGTGGGATCTACCTATTTTGTTGGTGGATGGAAAGGAAGGAAAGATGAAAGTAAAGCATTGGATCTCTGTATTAAGTTATAATTTGAGTAGATATTCTGAGGTCACACATATGCTTTTTTGTTTGATTTGTGCCACTTTTTGAGACTGCATTTCATTTAGGCAACAGGAATTCTGGAAAGTATTAATAGTTTGCTTACACCTTTGTGGCTGAGGCTCATATGTGTCTTATAGTATTGTCAAATCTGAGGCCCATGATCACCTAGAAGCAGGGATAAGCACAGTGCTTTCCTGCAATGGGCCAAGTAGTAAATTTAGGCTCCGTGGGCCATCTGTTTCTGACATAAGTACTCGACTTTGCATTTGTAGCAGAAGAGCAGCCATAGGTAATACGTATGTGAATGTTGCTGTGATGCAATAAACTTTATTTTATGGACATGGAAATTTGAATTTCATATAATTTTCATGTGTCATGAAATATTCGTCTTCTTTTTATTTTATTTATTTATTGAGACAGAGTCTTACTTTGTTGCCCAGGCTAGAGTGAGTGCCGTGGCGTCAGCCTAGCTCACAGCAACCTCAAACTCCTGGGCTCAAGCAATTCTCCTGCCTCAGCCTCCGAAGTAGCTGGGACTACAGGCATACGCCACCATGCCTGGCAAATTTTTTCTATATATATTAGTTGGCCAATTAATTTCTTTCTATTTATAGTAGAGACGGGGTCTTGCTCTTGCTCAGGTTGGTTTGGAACTCCTGAACTCAAACGATCCTCCCGCCTCAGCCTCCCAGAGAGCTAGGATTTCTTCTTTTGATTTTATTCAACCAATTAAAAATTGCAAAAAGCTTTCTTAGCTCACGCTGGTCACAGTTTGCCGAACCCTGATCTGGAGCCGTGCAGTCCAGTGGGGGCCTCTTGCCTCGTGTGGTTACTGAGCACTTGAACTGTGGCTAATCCAAATGGAGGCACCAGATTTTAAAGACTTAGTACAAGAAAAAAAAAGAAAGAAAAATAGTTTATTAATAATAATTTTTTTATTTTGACTACATGTTGAAGTGATAATATTTTAGATATATGGGGTTAAGTAAAATATTGCAAAAATTAATTTTATCTGCTCCTTTTTACCTTTTTTTTTTGAGACAAGGTCTTGCTCCATTGCCTGGGCTGGAGTACAGTGGTATCATCATAGCTCACAGCAACCTCAAACTCCTGGGGTCAAGTAATCCTCCTGCCTCAGCCTCCCAAGTACCTGGGACTACAGGCATGCGCCACCATGCCCGGCTAATTTTTAAATTTTTTGTAGAGATGAGGTCTTGCTCTGTTGGTTACTGCTGGCTTCAAGCAATCCTCCCACCATAGCTTCCCAAAGTGTTGATTACAGGCATGAGCTACCATGCCTGGTATTTTTACTTTTTAAATGTGACTACTAGAAATAAAAAGTTACACATGTGGGTGACATTTTACTTCTTTTGGACAACCCTAATCTAGAAGAATAAATTATAAGGGACCAACATGTTTATAGAGTGTTTTCCTATCACATTGCGGTGGTGCTAGGTGGTTGTATGTTGCTGAATGGGGTATAGTGGAGGTGGGGAATTGATTGCCAATCTATGATGTTTGAAGAAGGAGCATTTGAATCTCGTTCCAAGGGGGTCATAGTTGACTCATGTGACTTTTTTGGCCCTCCTATCCTACTGGTCCGGAGACCAGGAATGTCTTGGTACGTTAAGGACCTTTAGTCTTGCTTGGAACTGGAGGTCTGCCCTATATTGTTGACCCATTGGCCTTTTTGATACTTCTGTTGTGTTAATTGAATGATGAGGTGCCTTGTTATGAGACTTTAATTTCCTTGGTCAGTGAAGTTATAGGAAAATAAAATTCTATAGAATGGAAAGAAACATGACTTTTCGTATTCTGCTAGAGTGCTTTATGTCAAATATATAGTATAAGTATTTATAAAATATTTTATATCTCAATTACATAAAACTGACCAAAGTAGGGATTTCTAATTTTGGGTAAAACAACGGGCTTCCCATCTGTGCAACATCTATTTGGATCCTAATGAATTTAAATTTAATTATGGTAATTATCAATTGCTTCAGAACAATTCTATATTTTATTTTATTCAGTGGAATGTGATAGTAAAATCTTCTTTAAAAGATTTACCCTTGCTTTTCTTTTCCAGTATTACCAAAATTTGAAGTGGCTTTGCAGACACCATTATATTGTTCTATGAATTCTAAGAATTTAAATGGTACCGTCACGGCAAAGTAAGTATTACTTTCCTGTTGTTATGGCTCTAAGTCATTATAAAACTGTATGCCAAAAACTGATTATATACTCCAGAATACTAGCACAATTTTTTGCTTATTAAAATATCCTAGTGGATAGTAAAAACTATCTGTAACAAATAATTAAGCGTGGAATAGATCTGTACAGAGAGATCTGTAGTCATCTCACTGCTTCTAAGCTGAGCCAGTCCTAAAATATTTCCCACAGACTAGTGTCTTTCTAAGACTAATTAAGGGATTTACATTATGGGTAGTGCCAGTTTTTTTTTAAAGTTATATCTTTGTTTATTGCCCATTCAGATGACATGGAGTTGAGGTAATTTATCTCTTCTTTAATCTTATTTTTTTCCTGTTGATAATGGAGGTTGAGCTCTTGTGGGGAGGAAGTTGGTTACTTATTGCAATTAGCTTATGAGTGAATAATCACATTTTCCATTTCACCATATATACACAGAGACTTCCAGCCCACCCTACATGACAGCTGCATGTTTGCTCTCATGCTTGGTCAGCAGAGCATTTTGTTTTGCTGAGGCACAAAGGGTCCTTGGAGTTTTAGACTAATGGTTCTCCAAAGTGCAAGCTGGGATTGCCCTCAAGTCATTCAAGGACTGGTCTCTTGTAGTGTTTATTTTTGATGTGCCAATATCTGTGCTTTGGTTTCTGAAATGTATTTGGTTTCATAATTTATTACTAAGAGCTATTAGTAATAAAAGCTGGAGCTCACCTCAGTGCCATCTCATCACCATGCTCTTCTCCTGGTCAGTGTTTGTAGCAGTGGCAAGTGACAGGCAGCACAGAGTCTCCTGGCAGAAGTCAGTCCACAGATCAAAATCCACTAAGGAATCCTGCTTTAGATTCTGTTTCTAAAAAATTGTGTGAAACCCATGTAGCACAAAGGCAAAAGGGTGTCTACAGTTTGTACTAAGTTAGTTTTCTGCCCACGTCAATGAAGAGGCAGCTTCCGATATGAATTTGATCACTGTGGATGGATTTATGGTTAAGAAAACACATAATTGCCTGCATTTTACGTAGCTGTTATATTGTATTTGATCTTAGCCAAATGTTAAGCATTCTGAGTTTGATTTTGAGGCTTTTTAAAAAATTTTTTTTTAAGAGACAAGGTCTTTTGCTCTATCTTAGCTCAGAGGAACTTCGAACTCCAGGGCTCAAGTGGTCTCCCTATTTTGGCCTCCTGAGTAGCTGGGACTATAGGTGTGAGCCACCACGCCTGGCTAACATTTTTTAGTTTCATTTTGTTTTGTAGAGATGGGTTTCCCTATGTTGCTCAGGCTGGTCTGGAACTTCTGGTCTCACAAAGTGCTGAGATTACACGCATGAGCCACCATGCCTGACCCTGTTTTTAGTTCTTGATGAATGCTTATAAAACTTGGTACAAATTTGCACAAACCATTGTATCCACCGAGTGGGCGCAAGTACACATAAATATTGTGTGTGGATTTAAACAATCCATATCCACATGAGATAGGTTGAGTCTGGGTATCTTCTTTGGTTCTGTTTTATTTTTTGGAGACAAAGAGTCTTGCTTTGTCACCCAGCTAGAGTGCTGTGGCATCAGCCTAGCTCACAGCAACCTCAAACTCCTGGGCTTAAGCAATCCTTCTGCCTCAGCCTCCTGAGTAACTGGGACTACAGGCATGTGCCACCATGCCCAGCTAATTTTTCTATTTTTAGTAGAAAAATAGAACAATTTTTGCTCGCTCTTGCTCAGGCTCATCTCTAATTCCTGAGCTTAAGCAGTCCTCCTTCTTTGGCCTGCCAGTGGTTCTCTTTTTGGTTTTCAGAGGTGTGCCAGGAATTTAATGCACTCAATTAAAATAGTGATTCTTAAACTCTGGTCACTCCAGAATATTTTACATGTAATTTAGGGAGTTACGGATCCCCTGAAGCTCCATGATTGGTGCCATCCTCCCCTAGCCCGGTAGGAACCCTTGTAGTTTCATCACAGTTCTCATGGTTGAGCCTCTTTGAGTCACTACTGCTTGAGAATGACATGACAATAATGTTGGCCTCCTGGCACTTCTTTTTTTTTTTTTTTTTTTTTTTTTTTTTTTAGCAATCAAGACCCTAGTGAACTGGCACTTCTTTAGTTTTCACTGTATTGTATGCTCATCGTTTTCCTTAGTATGTGTAGCAGGTAAAGTTTAACCAGAGAAGCAGAACCAGTAGGAGATATATATTAAGAGATTTATTGCAAGGAATTGGCTTATAGGATCTTGGCGACAGCTAAAAGCAAGTCCAAAATCCACAGGGCAGGCTGTCAGGAAGGGGAGCCGGGCTGGAATTCTCAGCCTCGTGAAGTTGCTCCCAGAGGCTAAATTTCGTATTCTTTGGGACATGTCAGCTCTGCTTTTAAGGCCTTTCATCTGATCAAATCGGGCCCACTCATTATCTAGGATCATCTCCTTTACTAAAAGCCAACAGATTATGGATTTTAATCACATCTGTAAAATACCTTCACCTTAACACTTAGATTGGCATTTGATGGAGTCACTGGGGACTTTAGCTTTGCGAAGCTGACACACCAGAAAGGCCTTTACTGTATGTTTGGTTTGTCTGTTGTGGTTCGTGAGGCTCGTTGTTGCCATTTAAAGTTCTTAGATCTGACTAGTTCTGATGATTGTCCATTCTGAGTTCTTCTTTCCTGTGAAATCTCCTTCCTTCAGCCTTCGGTTGCCCAGGTGTGATGTCCACGGTGAGGCAAAGGAAGGCAGTTCTGTGTTCTGGGGTGGAGCGTGTCTTCTGTGTGAATTCAGAGGAACAGCCGCCCCTCTGCCCCGGGCTCCTTCCCTCTTCACCCCAGCTGCTGTGAGTGCAGTTTCAGCAGGGTCTGCTTTTGCCTCCAGGGTGGAGAATCAAGACTGAGGATATAATTTACAACTGCAAGATTAAGGAAATCTGTTTGACCCGCAGGATCTTTAATCGGTTTATAAATTTGGCATGTAAATACTAGTGTACACTATTCTATAAATACTGTGTCCCAAGAAAGGTGGAAATGATTATCCTCATCATCTTCCTCCTTATCCTGTCTGTCATGATGAAAGCTATATCTCTTTTTTCTTCAGAGGCTAATTCCTCCACTTGGGCCTTGGATACTGTCTCCTATTGGGAGAGTCCCAATCCTACTTCCTCTTTCGCTTATGTCTCCACTCCTTCCGTTTGGTATCTTTAACCTTTTGTTCTTTAGTGGTGTCTTCACTCTGTGCTTAATCACTTGGGTTATTAAAAGAAACAAACCCTTCCTTGACCTCCATGCCTCCTTCCAGCTCCTGCTTTATCTCTCACCTTTTCTTCACCGTCACAGTTGCATTTTCCACTTCTTCACATTCCATTCATTCTTCAGCCACCTACAATCAGCCTGTCATTCTCACCATGCCATTGAAACTGCTGTCACCAGGGTCACAAAGACTTCCTTCTTGCTCAGTCTTGGTGGGTACTTTTTTAGGCTTTCACAACATTTTTTTTTTTTCCTTTTGCAGCAGGTAACATTGTTGTCCACTCCCATTTCCTTTCTGGTTTTCCTTCTTTCCCTTTGGTTACTCCTTTGAGACTCTTGAGCACAACTCTCCATCTTTTAAAAGTTCTTATTTCTCAGAGCTCTGACTTTGGCTCTCTTCTTTCTATACCCAGTTACTCAGATTTTTCTTCTCCATGGCTAGGGTTTCTGCTATTGTTTATAATTTGATGATGCCTAAAATCTGTGTCTCCAGCCCCATGTTTCTTTCTTGAGGTTCAGACCCTCCCATCCCACTGCCCACCAGACATCTCCCACTGTGTGTCCCTCAAGTATTTAAAACTGAACATGTCATCTTCCCCCAGACATGATTCTTCTCTTGCATCTCTGTCTTGGTGGGCTGTACCATCCTCTGTTTAGCTGTCCAAGTTAGCCACACTCTTCCCACTCTCTCAATCCCTACAGCCAATGGGCATCTGATGTTATTGATTCCGTCTCCTTAACCTCTCTCAAATCCATCCACTTTTCTCCATTGCCACTTCCTTGATTCAGGCCAACATCATCTCTCTCTCCTCAACTATTGCAGTTTCTTAAATGTTTTTCCTGACTCCAGTTTTACCTATTCCAGTCTTTTCTCTACTTTGTATTGAATTCCTCTTTTTTTTCTGAAAGACAAATGTAATATTACTCTTTGCATGAAAATTTTCAGACCATTGCTTTGAGGGTGAAGTTCAAGTTCTTTGGTATATCTTACAGGGTTCTTTTTTAGTCTCATGTCTTTTGAAACATCCCACCCAGTCCATTTTCTACTATCCCAAACTCTACTCTCAAATTTTACTTGTGCTTCTAAGAATGCAAAATGCTTTTTCTGACCAATAGGTCTTGACATAGGCAATTTCAAGGCTTGCTACCTGTTCCTAACCCACTATGCTTATGCCTCTCCTATCCCTGGTCACGTGGTGCTGCAGTTTGCTAGTCCACCTCTTTGAAGGTGGCTCTGTGTCTTGTTTGCTCTTGCACCGTGGTGCCTAGTACAGGGCCAGCCACAGAGTAGGTTTCCAAGAAATAGCTATTGAAAGGACACATGGGTACACAACGTGACCCTTAAGATTTCAGTTCCATGCAGCGTGTAGCTTAGCAAAGGTCTTCATACCACACCAAAAGCCTGCTATTTGGAGTTCTGATGATCTAGGAAAAAGCAAACTCAGTTTCTTCTGTACTGTCATCCCACAATCAACACAGAAGGCTTCTATGACCTCTGGTCTTTAGGAAATGTGTGGGGATTTCTCCCCACCAACAACCAATCAGTCGGTTGTGCAGCAGATACCAACGAGGCGTCTTTTAATTCCAATCAGTTCTGACACTGTCTACCTGGAAATAGCATCAGGTCATAGGCAGAGAGCTCAGCCCAAGACTGCCTCTATTTCAGATGCCCACCGCAAGTCACAGGTTGTCACCTCTACTTCTGACCAATTGGCTATTACCTTCTTCTTCAGGTTTGACTGAC